CTGAAAAAGACTGGATGTGAAGTATGTTCTATACGCAGAAGATAATTGATGCTAAAACACATGGCTGCTCACCGAAAGGTCAGCGCTTTGAACCCACGTCCATGGGAGATAGACATGGCAATCTGCTTCCATAAAGATTTGGTTTTTTTAAAATCATTTTATTAGAACTCTTAACAGATATTATAACAATCCATAATTCAATTCGATCAAGCATACTTGTACAGTTGCTACCACCATCCGTTTCAAAATTGAACTCTTTGCTATCTGTTCCCCTTTCTCCCCTCCTCCACCACCATATCCCCTCAGGAACTCTTAATATGTATATTTCCCCTATCCTATACTATCCAATACATCTGTTCACCTACAATTCTGTTATTTGTTCCCCTTGAGTGGGGTTATGCAGTCATCATTGCTATTGGTTCCGGCAAAGATTTGCAGCAAAGATTTGAAACCCTAAGGGGCAATTGTAGTTCTGTCCCACGTGATTACTGTGAGTCAGAACTTGACTGATGTCAGTGAATTTGGTTTCTGTTTTTCTGTTGATTTTTAAATTAATATTAATGGACATCTTAAGGAATTAGTTGTACTAAGTATGTATTGATACCCTCTAAATATAACTGTCCTTCAGGATTTAGTTAATATTTCAGAAATGAAATTCATGCAAGTGCTTTATCTTAATTATAGGCACTAAAGATGTACAGTGGGAATTTGTACATGGTCTACTTGAAGATGCAATTTATGGAGGACGTATAGATAACTATTTTGATCTTAGAGTTCTTCAATCATATCTGAAACAGTTTTTCAATTCTTCAATAATTGATGGATTAAACCAAACAGACAAGAAAAGCGCTTTCCCATATTCTGTTTCTCTACCAAAATCTTGCAGCATTTTGGTAAGTAAAAATAATTTTTCATTCCATAACCAGACATTTAAATAATCTTACAGTGTTAACTACATATTGTTTCTTTTTAAGTGTCCCATTGATTTTCTTTCATAATGTGGGTATTTTTATGCCAAGATAGTCTGATTCCCAAACTTTAGTAAAGTGTCTTAAAAACATTGGGGTACTTACTAAAAATTTACTGATGATTATAGTGAAAATAAACTAGTGTGGGGGAAAATCATAGGAGTGGCCAAGAAAATTTAAGGAATTTACACAAGCCGTGAAGTGTTGGAATGGGGCTCTCCTATTTCTTCATAGGGATGTGTACTCTGATATATTGAAGAGTAAAATCAAAGATTATCTATCTTCACTTTCTGGTCTTTAAAGATGATCTAAATATAAGGCATTTGATTTATCTTTATTTGAAGCCAACATTTTTGTTTACATGTGTTTATTTTAGCAGGTGTATATTTTTGCTTTCTTTCTTCTTCTTCTTTTTTTTTTTTTTTTGAGTATAAAAGCTTCCTTGATAACAACCATCTTTTCCAGAAAATAGTATTAAGTATGAATCAAAGATCTTCATTCTATTTTATTTTGCCACAAAATCTGAATTTTTCCTAATGCCCAAATGTTTGGACTATTCTTATAATTAAATATACTTTATGAATTATAAAGATATGTACATACAATTATAAATTTTTTCAATATTGTGCCATTTTCTCTTATCCACATATTTTTCATGAAACTTTAATTTTAGTAACATAATTATCAAAAGGCAATAGCTTAAAAACAAGTGTTAAATATATTTCTTTTACTGACCGGACATCTCTATCATGTTTTTAAGTATTCCACCAGTTTTATTTTTTGTTCTTCTTTTGTTTATTCATTCATTCAGTAATATGCATTGAACATCTGCTCAGTGAAAAAGGTCTGGTTCTAGGCGTGGTGGCTATAGTGATGCTTCTCTGGAACTAAACAAATGTTCTCGCGTGTATTTATCATGTATTTCTGTCAGTTAGTATGCCTCAACAGGTGTTGCATCTCTATTGTTGAATTTAAATTGAAAAATAAAGTACATAAAGAAAAATGAACTTCAAGCGTGTATACTGAATGTGTTTTCATACACCGAGCACATATGTCAGTGTAACATCAGAATCGACATAGGAAGAAACAAGACCTGATCACCTCCCCATGGCTCATCCTCGTTTCCTCTAACAATTTCCACATTTCTTACAAGGGTAGCCATTTGCCTCACATCTAATGACATAGATATGCCTCATCCATTTTTGCACTTTTGAAATGATTTCATAAATTAAATACTCCTTTGTGGCTGAGTGAAGATCAATCAGGATATAAACCTGTCAATTATTTTAGTAAACATGTCTGTCTTCAGGTAGAAAGAAAACTCTAGAGAGTCTAGACAAGGAAATGTCACAGATTTTTGTATGTTTTTTTAATCAACAAAGTTATGACTCTACAAAGAGTAATAGTTTTAAATTTAGAGGATGACTTGTGCATCTCAATATTTAGCTTTCCATCTAATTGAATTAGATAGCTTAAGAAGGTAAACTTTTTCAGGTGAATATATATACATGCACGCACACACACATACATAATACATCTGCACACCTGTATACATTCACACTCACCCATAGTTACATATGCCTATATGTGTGAGTATCATTGAACACCTTGAGGATATTTACAAATGTTGAGCATAGGAAAAGTTATTTCAAAGTCCAGTGTGATTTTTTAAATTTGCCATCTTTACAGAGCCTTAGTTTTCTAACTAGGTGTCCTGGAGTCTGAATGTTTCCTTGGAGAGATTTCATGGACAGCTGCCAAGGATGGGAATGGGTAATGGAAGGGAAGGGGGATCAGTCTTTTCACCCCTCCTTCAGGAAAAGTGCATCAGCTTTCCTTTGCTTTATGTATTTAACTGCTCTATGAGATTTACTTACATTTGAAAACCAGTGCATCCGATGTATTGACTGCTATAAATGATCTTTTGTGTGAAAGTATATCATATATTTTAGAAAACAGTTGCTTAGTTTTTTTATGTGGATAAATAGTACATATTTTAAATATTGTCCTAGATGACTGATAGTTTTCAGTTTACATTATTTAAAGGAAACTATGGTAGATTCACTAAAATGTTATTTGTTTTTTACAAGTTCATACTGTTCCTTTATTTCCTGCTTTTGCAAAAATTACATGACCGTGAAACACATATGTAACTGTTGGTGTCTGGATACCATCAAGGTGGTTTCAGAGCATAGTGACCCTATGTAACAAAATGGAATTGTGCCTGGTCCTCAGCTACTGCCATGTTTGAGCACATTGTTTCAGCCTCCCTGTCAACCCAGCTCAGAGCAGTTCTTCCTCCTTGCCATTGCCCTTTTCTTTTTCCAAGAATGATATACTTTTCCAAAGACCAGACCCTTCTGGCAGCATGTCCAAAGGGCATGAAATAAGGTCTAGCTATCCTCACTTCTTGGGAGCCGTCTGGCTGGACATCCAGATTTGTTTGTTTTGGCAATCCAGAACATAATCAATATGCTTGCCCGGCACCAGAATTCGAAGTCATCAATTTTTATTCAATCTTCTTTAATCATTTCCCAACTTTTGCATGCATGAGAGAGCATTGGAAATACCATGGCATGGGTCAGGTGCACTGTAGTCCTCAAAGGGGACATCTTTTAACATCTGTACTGTCTACCTTAAAATAACCTACCTCTTCACAAAAACAAAACATAAAGGAAATTCTCATCTTTGGGCCAACCTGAACAGTCCTTTTGGTCAATACTTAGTTTATCATAAGTGAATAACCCTTCAAATGAGAGTGAGTGTAGGGAATGCTGAGAATAATTTCTGGAATGAAATTCAATGAACTAACAAATCTCCATGTCCAATCAGAATGCTCCCAAGAAGTGAGGATTGCGAGACCTCATTCCTGCACTTTGGAATATCGGTGCATTTCATTATATTTCATGGACAAGCTGATAATGAGTAACCATGGTACTTCTTTATGAAAGTTACTTGTTAAATAGTGCTTATTAGTATCTGAGAGTCTCTCTAGAGGTTTAAATGTTTTATACCTCTTAACATTTAGGATTATCGTGCTGTCATAGAAAAACTCCCGGAGGATGACAAACCGAGTTTCTTTGGTCTTCCTGCCAATATTGCTCGCTCGTCTCAGCGCATGATCAGTTCTCAGGTAACTCCCCCAAATGCCCTGCAGGACATGTATTGCATCTGCGTCTGCAAGAAACGTTACATTTTATTTAATACTACATAAAGGGTTTATAAGCTTTCATTACAAACTTTGTTTTTCATTTTGTGGCTTTATTTGACATAATAGATTTCAGTTTCATGTTAAATATGTTTTAGATAGGCAGGTAGTGATAAATTAATTTGTCTGATGAAATTAGTAAATAACATTGAACTTGATTTAAAATACATTGCTTTACTCTTGTGATTTATTAAAGCTACTTTCAATTTAATTTATATAATTAAATATGTCTCACTAAACACATCAAATGCAGATATATGATTATGTTTTCATAATAGTTGAAAAATATAATTTTAAATAACATTTATTCTTTTAATATGTAAACATACTATAAAATGGGAAGAAATTTGGATTTTCAAATTAAGATGCAGAAAAAGGTTATTGTGGAAAATATATGTTGTATGTTTATTGACCCCAGACATTAAGAAGCACTATTATTTATTGACCATTTACTGTGTTCCTGGGACTTTCCTAAATGCTTTATATCCAGGAAATTATTTGATCTTCATACTCTGTGAGGTAAGAACTATTTTTTCACCATTTTACAAGTGAAGAAACTGAGACACAGACGATTATGTAACTTAAACAGTGCAGAACTAGAATTTAAAATCAGGCCATCCTAGTACAGAAGGTCTTCTCTACATTACAACAGTCCCCTGAGCATTCAATACACTGGTCAATACTGTGCACCATTTCTGCGACACTGAATCATGAACTGTTACATAGATGTTTGTATGGACTCAAGCAAACAAACACCCAGTCTCACTAACATTGAGTCTTGGCCAACTCATAGCACCTACAGAACAGGGTAAAACCACCCATGTGAGTTTCAAAGCCTGTAACTCTTTTGGACAATAGAAAGACCCATCTATCGCCCTCGAGCGCCTGATGGTTTACCACTGCTTGCCCTGCAAATAGCAGCCCTGCCCATGACCACTGCACCCCAGTGCATGTAAAATCCTGGCAGTACTTAATTTATTTTTGGAGATTTACCAGGCATTCAATTTATATTATATTATATCTATATGTAGTATTTCTTTTACCCTTTACTATATGCAGTTGTATTTTTAGTTTAGCCATCATTTATAAAACCAGCAGTTTCCTCTTATTATTGGTTGGGCTCAATATACAGTTTCAATAGCAATTCTCATATCTTTAAAAAATTAAGAAATTTTGATTTTATATGGGTATTAATGTTTTCTGAACATAAAAGATTTTAACCACCTTTCTTCAGCTGAGATAGTACCCAGTTCTTTTTTCCATTTTTATAAAAATGGTTATTATCCAGTCCTGCATGGCTTTGAACTTTATAACAAATGTAATAACACTCTAATTGGTTTCTTCCTTTTTTATTAATATTTTTTTGTTTTCTGTGAAGGGTTGCACAGCAGATTAGCTTCCTATTCCACAGGTTCTACACATATTGTTAACTGATAGTGGTTACATTTTTTTATATTGTAAACCACTGCTGGTTCCATTTCCATTGATCTAGTGTTTCTGCCCCCTTACAATTTTCATCTTTGCTCGAAAGTAATTGTAGACTGTTTGTTTTCCAATGGACGATCATTTTAGTGATGCACAGAACTGGGTGACAGTCTTGATTTTTGGAGCTAATTTGTTATTTTCCATATATACTCGTGTATAAGCCGAGTTTTCCAGCACATTTTTAATGCAGTTATTGTGGTAAAATTAGGTGCCTCGGCTATTATTCAGGTCGACTTATACTCGAGTATATACAGTAGCTAGAAAGTAACCTCAGAGGTAGTCTTTATGAGGTTTTACAGAATATTTCAGGGATTAGGCTCAGTCTTAACAAGTGTGGTAAGGTGGTTTTTGTATTTTTTGAGGCATTTGATGTTCCATCCATACTTTTCCATATCACATTTTTCTAGGGCCCCTCGATTGTGGCCCTGGCTCTTCTTTGCTCTTCATCTAACTTAAAATAATTATTCTTTAATGCCTCTACCAGTTGGATTCAAAAATTATACAAGGAAGTTTCAAAAAGTTAATGGGGAAAATCTTTCATTTTTCCATGAATTTTTTGAAGCCCCATTTATATATTCGTTTTATATATATATATATATATATGTGTGTGTGAGTGTGTGTTTTCACAGGCCTTCTAAAATAAACCTAAGCATACTTTAAGATATATACTGTTAGTCTTATATTTTCTTTGAAATATACAAAAATTGGTTTAATATTTAAGCTCAAGTCCTATATGTTCTAAACTCCTACAAATACCTAATAATATAAAACTTTTCAAGCCCGAACCAAACCGAACTCCTTGCTATCATATTGCTCTTAATTGCAACTTGCAATGACCTTGTAAACCAGAGTAACGCAGTCCTATTGGGTTTGCAAGGTTGTACAGAAGCAGATGCATCATTTTTCTGTCACAGAGCAGTTCATAGGTTGGTGTCTTACAGTCTTGGTTTTCCTGACAATCCAGAAAGATAGTATATTCAAGTTTTTATATATATTAAAATTACATGTCTGTCAGCTTGTAATACTTTGGTGGTTTGTGTGTTGCTGTGATGCTGGAACCTATGTCACTGGCACTTCAAATGCCAGCCAGGGTCACCTCAAGTGAACAGGATTTAGCTCAGACTCCAGACTAAGAATAGACAATGCAGAAGGACTTGGCTCCCACTTCAAAGACAGGAGCCACTGAAAACCTTATACACAGCTTCGAAACTGTCAGGTGTTGAAGACCTAATGAGTGGACTCAGAACACTGTGGGAGATAGTGCTGGAGGATGGGCGCCTCGGTAGGAGGGCACTCAAATGGTGACTGAGAGGGATCTGCTTTCTCTGTGTGGAGCCAGCCCTGTTGTCCTGAGTCCAATAAAGCCTGTGGTGGTGGAGCCAACTGGATCTTCCATTTGCTGATGAGGCACCACTCAACGTAGGGAAAAATGGCTGCAAAAATCTGTAATGATCAGAAAGTGGATGGTGCAAAGTATGAATCTAGGAAAATTGGAAGTGGTCAAAATGGAAATGCAATGGATAAAGATCAATACCTGAGGCATTAGTGAGCTGAAATGGACTGGTATTGACCATTTTGAATCAGAAAAATTATATGATTTACTAGGTCAGGGATAGCACAATCAAGACAAATGGTGTGGCATTCATTGTCAAAAAGGCCATTGCAAAATCAATTATGAATTACAATGCTGTCTGTGATAGGATTATATCTGTCCACCTTCAAGGAAATCTTATCAGTAAAATTATCGTTCAACTTTATGCACCAACTACAAAAGCTAGTAATGAAGAAATTAAAGAATTCTGCCAATGACTCGGTTTGATCATTTGGGAAATTGGCAATTGATCGAACATGCTTTCAAGATACATTGATAATTATTGGTGATTGGATTCAAAAGTTGGGAGCAAAGAAACTTTAATGTCAGTAACTAAAGTAAGACCAGGGGCCAACTGTGGAAAAGACTATCAACTGCTCATATGTAGTTTCAGACGGATGCTGAAGAAAATTAAAGCTATTCCACTAGAGCCAAAGTACAACTTTGAGTATACCTGAATTTTGAGAAGCTCTAAAGAACAGATTTCATGCATTGAACACTAATGAAAGAAGACCTGATGAGTTA